TTTTATACAAGTCAAGGTTAATAAACTTGTTCTACAATATATTTTATATAGTGATATATACAATAATATGTAAACTACATTAATAGAAATAAACTGTTTTTAAAATTTTTTAAAGTTTTTGTTATTAATAGAAGTCTAACAAGTGAGCAGTTTTGAAACTGCTAAATATGCCATCCTTCTGTGTCAGTAACTTGCCAAAGACACTTGGTGAATGACTTGTATGAGACACAGGTAACACTTCAGGAGTTTTACCTTCAGAGACTTCAAACTGTGGTGGGATTTAGTAGAAACTTTGTTTTGTAAGATACCCTAGGTCAGGGGTCAGCAATCTTTTGCTAACTATGTACCGACCTAGGGTTTTAAAATCATTCATTGTGCCAACAGCATACGTAATTTTTATACAAGTCAAGGTCAATATACCTGTTCTACAATATATTTTATATAGCAATATATAGTATATATACTTTAGTATGTATTAAAATTGAAACAGCTAAATATCTTCTTTGCGTTGGAGTAGTTATTGGTTGGGACTTCATGATGTCATTTGCAGTTGCGTGCCATTGGAAATTGCTTAGCATGCCACGTGTGCCATAGATTGCTGATCCCTGTTTTAGTACATATTAAAATTGAAACAGTTAAATATCTTCTTTGCATTTTTGTAGTTATTGGTTCGGACTTTGTCATGTCATTTGCGGCAGTGTACTATTGGAAATTGCTTGGTGTGCCACATGTGGCATGCATACCCTAGGTTGCCGACCCCTGCTCTTTACAGTCAAACATAAGACATAAATGTAATTTATTTTTAAGTACTTATTATTTGAATGCTTTCACACTCTAACAGGATCATTATATCAATTTAGAATAAAAGAAAACTGATCCTCCATTTTATATCCAGCAGAATCGTATATTAATAACAATTTATCTATACCAGGGGTCAGCAACCTTTTGCTATTTCACTTTCTGTGATCGTAATTAATAGTAAGGTAAAAACTATGTAGTTACACCCCTGATGATGATCTCAGAAAGAGATGGAAAGTACTTGGGGAAATAAATGTGATTTTCACTGTTAAAGTGTATTTCTTGTATCATTTGATTGTAATACATCAAAAAATATCCATGAATATGAACAGATTATCTTAAAAATAAGCAGACATAATGTTTGTAATTTATTTAAGTGACTCAGAGGGTGGCGCACAAAGCCTTGGCAACTAACAATCAGCCCGAGAGAAAAGGGAGATCACCCCCCTCTGTGGGATCAGGTTAAGATCATAGACAAAGAACACCATTGGAAAATTCTTAAACTTAAGGAATCAACACATATGTTAGGCCACAAAAATCTCCTGAGCTGACCAAGCATAGAAATGAATACAATAGAGGAACAAGTAATAAGGAGTGTCAGAAAAAAGTAATAAAAACAATGAAAATTGCAATATGAGCTCAGGTTAAAAAACATTCAATGATAACAAATATGAGCACTGGTAAAAAAAAATAGTTGCTGAAGACATTAGGTTTATAATGCCCAGAAATTCATACACAGATATCCTCAATGTACTTGGCACAGTGGATAAAGGCATTAGTTAGATCCAGTGACAGGACTACAAATGTAGGTATGAAGTAAGTAATATGTTATGGATATGTTTGTATAATCAATACAATAAGTTTTGTTTATTACTATATACCTATTTTGCATCCCTCTGTATATCTTGGCTTCTGCTGGCTTGAAGAATAAAATAAATATTTCATTTTTTTGTTTTTTGTTTTTTTTAATTCAAATTTTAGAAATTGCCATATTTAAGTAATGTTTCTATTATTTGCTTTTTTTTTTCTAAATTTGTGCTTGTATAAAAAGAATTAATATTGGCTTTATCAATATTCAGTCATAACCTACAGCGTTTATAATAAGCATTGTTGTCATATGCTATTCCACGTTGCTATAAATTAGAGCTAAAGAAAGTTTTACAGAATTATCTAAATAAGTCAAAATAATCTGTTAAATTTTCTTAAAACAATACCAAATTATTTAGTGGAAAAAAAAATGTAGTAATTAAATCATTTCACCCCAAGCAAGGTGTGAATGCCACTAGAATCTTTTCTTTCACTCACTGTAACCCGCTTTACAGAGAGTGAAAGAGAAAGAAAAGACTGAGAATAGAATGGATTGAAGAAAAGACAGATGCTGAACGGGGTTCAAGAAGACAGAAAATGGCGATTGATGTTGCATTTAAATTTTTGAAGATTGTAGTTATCAGGGAAGCAAAAAATCAGAAGGGTGCCTGTTAGAGTAGAAGTGGCAGTTACATTTAGCAATTTCAACACTTCTTTATTATTAATATAAACATTAGAAAATTATTTAAATTTTTTCTCTCATGGTCAGCTCTGTTTAGAATAGAATATTCAAGTGGACTTCACATAATAGGACTAAATAGTTGTATTATTTACATTATTCAGACTGATATCCTCATCTTCATTGCCATATTCACAACGTCTTGGCCATTGTATGCTCCAGCCTTATTCAGGTGATTGCAATTTTGAACCAAACCCTTTATTTCCTCCACCAGGATAGATTGTTCTAGTACCACATGCCATGCCTCTTCCAGATGTCTCAGTTATTTCTCTTTTAACTCAATTCTCCAAGTTTTGCTTCAATACTGCTGTGGCCTGGTATCGAACTCATAACTCTTTGGGTCTAGTCACTGGATCTGTCTTTATTCACTGGGTCATGTGTAATTGAAATAAAGGGTTTGGTTTGAAATTCGAATCACCTGAAGAAGGCCGAAGTGTACAATGGCTGAAATGTTGTGAATATGTCAATGAAAATAACAGTCTGCATAATGTAAATAATACAAGTAACCATAATACCTCATCTCAGGGATATAGACAGGAGTAGATAGGTTCACCTGTCATCCAGTTCACACTCCTCCCAGTCCTTTGAACAGGAGTAGTGGTTTATCCCTTGTTTTATGTTTATGATTAGATTTCTGGTTCCTTCTCCTAAAGTCTATTTATTTATTTTTCCCCACAATAGGAATAAATAGATAAACTTTTCTTCCACATCTAGACCTAAAAAAAGAACTACATTGAGCCACAAGGTGAGGGGCCCAGTACTGAAACATTTCTCATAGAAACACTTTCTCAGATCAATGATTAAAAATGGCTTTGAGCATATAAGAGCTCATAGAGGAACACCCAACTTCAAACCTTGTGGACTGTTGCCAGAGGATAAACAACTGTACCAAATAACAAAAATAACATCAATTGATTGGTATGGGTTGTTTTTAACGGAATATCAACATCAATGCGTTATTTAATGCCAACAAAATTTTTATTGCTGATAATATTTTTTTTTTAAAATGTATTGCTGGTAATATTTTATTTTCAGAAATGTATTGCTGGTAATATTTTTTTCAAAAAAAGTATTGCTGGTAATTTTCTTTTTTTTTTTTCCCAAAAAAAGTATTACTGGTAATTTTTTTTTTTATAAGTATTGCTCTAATTTTTTTTTTTTTTTAAAGTATTGCTGGTAATAATGTATTGCTGACAATTATTTCTTCAAAAATTCATTGCTGGTAATAAAAACTTATTTTTGCATGTTTTGACCCCAGATTAGGGGTTAACTATTTGCCCATAGCTGGAACTTTAACAGATGCTACCACTCCAGGTCAGGACAGACCTGGGAACATCAGCAATTAAGAGGTGGTTCCACACTCCTCAAAACCTTATAAAAGGTCTTGCTGTCAGATGTAGTTTATCATCATATCCAGGACACAACATCAGTTGAAGACTTTCTGCATCAGCAACAACTAAAATGGATAGCACATGTAACTTAAAGAGAAAATAATGACCTAATCAAGATGTTGAAATTCCACACTACTTCAAACAAAAGGTTAGGAAGGAAGCCCCCAATCCTAAAAAAAGCAACAACAGTTATTGGACTTGAGAAACCTATTTTCTTTAAAAATTATTTTAAGAGAAATATTTTATAAACTTCAACCAATGGTAGCACTGGCTGTTTGGTCAGTGAATGTTGAATATTTCCTTATAAGGAAACAGCTAATATTACCATTTGTCTGACATTTCCAAGGAATTGTTCTTGTCACCATGACAACAGGCAAATATCATGTGAACTTCTTTCATGGAGACTTATCAGTTGTCATAGATTTTTATGAAATTAGTTGCAACTGCTGTGCTATCAAACGAGGCAGGCCATGTTTGGTTTAGAGAATAAGGAGTGTTGGAGGAGAGAGTGGAGCAGAGTGTGGGAAGATTAAAATCCAAATACAAACAAGCTTTTGTCTTCAGATGAAAATAAATGGTGACAATAAAAAAAAATAGTTAAGTAACTGGGTCAGTGGATCATCTTTCTTGAATGAAATGTCACACTCCAGTTAGGAGAAAAAATAAGATACAAAAAAATTCTCATTTAACAACTTAAAAGAGAAACAAAAGGAAGAGAGAGTGTGAGACAAAGAGAGAGTGTGAGACAAAAGAAGAGAGAGGCAAAGAGAAGAGAGAGGCAAAAGAAGAGAGGCAAAGAGAAGAGAGAGCAAAAAAGAGAAGAGAGAGGCAAAAGAGAAGAGAGAGAAGAAGAGGCAAAGAGAGAGGCAAAGAGAAGAGAGAGGCAAAGAGAAGAGAGAGGCAAAGAAGAGAGAGAAAAGAGAGGCAAAGAGAAGAGAGAGGCAAAGAGAAGAGAGCAAAAGGAAGAGAGAGGCAAAGAGAAGAGAGAGGCAAAGAGAAGAGAGAGGCAAAGAGAAGAGAGAGGCAAAGAGAAGAGAGAGGCAAAGAGAAGAGAGAGGCAAAGAGAAGAAAAGAGAGGCTAGAAAAAGAGAAGAGAGAGGCGAAAAAAGAGAAAGAGAGGCAAAGAGAAGAGAGAGGCAAAAGAGAGAAAGAGATAAAAGAGAAAAAGAGAGAGAGGCAGAAAGAGAAGAGAGAGGAGAAGAGAAGAAAAGGGACAAAGAAAGAGAGAAAGCTAGGAAAAGAGAGGCAAAGAGAAGAAGAGTGTCAGAAAAGAGAGGCAAAGAGAAGAGAGATGACAAGGAAAAGAGAGAGAAAAAAGGACAAAGAGAGAGTGTAGGAAAAGAGAGGCAAAGAGAAGAGAGTAAGTAGGAAAAGAGAGGCAAAGAGAAGAGAGAGTGTAGGAAAAGAGAGGACAAAAGAGAAGAGAGAGTGCTAGGAAAAGAGAGGCAAAGAGAAGAGAGAGTGCTAGGAAAAGAGAGGCAAAGAGAAGAGAGAGTGCTAGGAAAAGAGAGGCAAAGAGAAGAGAGAGTGCTAGGAAAAGAGAGGCAAAGAGAAGAGAGTGTCTAGAAAAAGAGTGACAAAGAGAAGAGAGAGTGCAGAAAAGAGTGAAAGAGAAGGGAAAGTCAGAAAAGAGGACAAAAAGAGAAAAGAGAAAAAGAAGAGAGAGTTGAAAAAGAGTGAGAAAAGAGAGAAAAAAGAGAAGAGAGAGTGCTAGAAAAAAGTGAAAAGAGAGTCTTAAAAAACAAAGAGAAGAGAGAGAGCTAGAAAAAGAGTGACAAAGAGAAGAGAAATATCTAGAAAAAGAGGAAAAAAGAGAAGAGAGAGTGTCAGAAAAAGAGTGAAAAAGAGACAAAAGAGAGAGTGTCAGACAAAAAAAGAGAGTGTCAGAAAAAGAGTGACAAAGAGAAGAGAGTGTCAGAAAAAGAGTGACAAAGAGAAGAGAGAGTGTCAGAAAAAGAGTGACAAAGAGAAGAGAGAGTGTCAGAAAAAGAGTGACAAAGAGAAGAGAGAGTGTCAGAAAAGAAAAGAGAAGGGAGGGCAAAGGACAAAAGAGCGTCAGAAAAAGGGACAAATAAAGGGAGGAAGATATAGTGAAGGAAGGAGGTGTCAGAAAAAGATGACAAAGAGAGTGAGCAAAAAACAGTCAACAGAGAAGGAGAGAACTAAAGGAAAGTCTCAGTGAGAGACAGACAAGGAGAAAAGCAGGACAGAGAGGGAAGGCTGGAGACAATGTCAAGAAAAAGACAGCAAACATACCTAGAAAATAAAGTACAGCTCATGTGTGTGTGTGTGTGTGTGTGTGTGTGTGTGTGTGTGTGTGTGTGTTCAATCTCTCTCTCTCTCTCTCTCTCTCACCTGTCCATTACCCAAAATTAACTTATTTGTTAACAAATAACCAGAGTGAAATCAACAAGAAACCAGACAGAAAAATATTTGCCCTCGGAGAATAATTAGTCGATTTTCTTTATTCATTATATAGAAGACATGACTTTTTATATTTAGTCCTGAAGCCTTACTTCATCTTCTTTGGAAGGAGATGTTTTTGGTATGTAACAGTAGGCATTACACCAATATGTGAACATGCCTTGTGTTACTATAACAACCAAATATCTCATTCAGAAAAAGGTGAGATCAGAATGCTGATTTTTTTTTTTTTTTTTATTTCATACCTTGTATTTTTTTTTTTTTTTTTTTTTTTTTTTTTTTTTTTACACGTGACAATAGAGTTAATCTTTTTGATAAAAATCCTTAATTATGTATTCAGAAAATGCAACCATTACAAAAATTACTTAAATATGTCTGCCAATTTCTTTTGACAGCACAGAGCATGTTAGCATTCTTTACATGTAATAATAGAAGTTGTTGGATTACTGCCCCCTGACTATAATCACAGGTGGCACAATATTTGAAAGGCACTCCCTCTTTTTCCTTTGAATTTAGTGGCAACATTTTTCTGCAGTAGAAACAAGGCAAGGACCTTCTGTAAACATGCCTTGTTAATTTTTTGTTTTGTTTTTTACCCAGACTCACATGAGCCTGCCAAATATTGTTTGCAGGACAAATATACCATAGTCCTGAGTGTGACAAGAAACTACATCTGGCAGCAAATCCTCGGATCAGGAGATTAGAAGTTTTGAGGAGCGTGGAAACACCTCTTAATTGCTGTTGTTCCCAGGTCAACTCTAACCCAGGGTGGTAGCACCTGTTAGGGTCCCAGCTATGGGCAAATAATGTACCCTCAAAAGTAAAACACTATGAAAGTATAAAATTACATTTTCATAGCAAAAGTACAAGCAATACACTTTTATATAAAAGAAATGACCAATAATACCTATTTATAGTAAAATGACCAACAATACATTTTATCTGTAGTTGAAGGCGTACAACTGTGTTCACAATATTTAGATTTGACCATTAAATAACCCATAAAAGTTGATATAATGTACCAGGAGGTAAAAATACTTTCCCTTATGGCAACAAAGGTCTATGAATAAAAATCCTAAAATGTCTATTAACCCCATCCCCACTAATTTAACTTTGGGAAAAATATTTCATTTTCAGACAATATTTATTTATTTTTAATATAGTAACTAAGAAACTGAGGCAGTTTAAGTATCCGAGCAGTGGCTAACACCTCGACTAGATATATGAGTTGATAATTGGACTCATTTCAAGCTCAGAAGGGCATAAAAATAATCGGGATCAAGTAAAAAACTGAGGTACCTTGAAGTATCCGAGCAGTGGCTAACACCTCGACCAGATGTACGAGTTGACAAATGGACTCATTTCAAGCTCAGAAGCGCATAAAAAGAATCAAGATCAACATATAAAAACTGAAGTTATATTTTGGACAGTTTATTTGTCCGTGGATGAAAAAAAAGTGGTAAAAAAATACATAACATCTACACCAGGGAAAAAACAAAAAACAAAATGCATGTAGCCATCAATTTCAGTAACAGTCAGAATTTCTTTGGATATAAAAATGATCAAAAAGTAGAAATCAGTCTTGCATGCAAAAACAAATTGGTGATAATGGAAGTATTCTTGAAGAATGAAACTTTTTAATGATTGGTTTATCAACCTCCTGCAGCTTATTTCAAACCAGATTTTTAGATTGAAGTTGAAAATGATTTTAGACTCATTAACCTATAGCTGGGGAGAGAAGATTGGATTCATAAAAATAATAAATGAATATAATGAACCTGACTGGAAAAAACTGAGGATTATCAATTTTGAATCCATCCAATCCATCTTCATACCTGGTATTCTCAAGTGGTCACCCATCTAGGTACGACCAGGCTTGTCATTGCTTCCTTTTTTTTTTTTTAAGCATTTCACCCTAAGAATGGTGGGAGTGCCATAAAAAAGAATCAAGATCAAAGGGGGGTGAGGAAAGGATAAAGAAGGAAATCATGGTCAAATAACTGTACAAAGGACTGGTTTTTGAATTGCTGATAAATCCAAAAGGAAGAACTGGAGGCTATTACAGTTTGGACATGTTGCTTTTGTCCGAAATGGACAAAAAAGGACCCTAACAAATTTTTTAGCAGTATAGTTTTTTGCTATGCCAGGGCTAAAAAACACTACATATAACATCTATATCTGGGGGGAAGGGGTGGATTTTAACTTTAAAAAAAAATAAAAAAATAAAACAAACCAAAAGTGGATTATCAATTTTTCCTTACATGTAGCCATCAATTTGACAGTAATCAGTACTGACCAGGATCAACGTTAAATTTCTTGGGATATTTTTAATGATCTTTAAAAAGTAGCTTAAAATCTGATATTCTCCAGGTCACCCATTAGATACTGACCTGGCATGCAACAACAGAATTGTGTTGATAATAAATTCACCTTGTAGATTATTCTTGAAGATAATAATGATCTATAACTTTTTGAAAGTCAATGTTTGAATTCAAATTTTTTTTTCAAGAACACAGCTTTATCAACATCCTGCAAGCTTAGTGTTAAAGGATCCTTGCCATCTTACTAAATTTTCCAGAAAATATATTTAGATTCAAAAGAATACGCCCAAATCAAATTTTTCAGGTCTATAGCAAAATGATTTTTTAGTGTTATCAAACAAGTCCTACTTAATTAACCTATAGCTGGGGAGAGAAGCTCAAAAATGGATTCATACCTTTACCAAAGATATTTGGAGCACTAAATGAAGTTTATCTGAATGAACCTGACTGGAATTAGGAAGGTTCTAAAGCTTTCTCTGATTATCAATCCCCAGACCTCACTGTATGTGATTTTCTTGTGGCCCATGTTGCACATTTATGTTCTTACGCCAACCTGGTATTCTCAAGTGCAATCACGGTGGACCGTGATATGCCCATTTGGGAGGAATTCTCATATCGGCTTGATGTCCAGACACTGCCGGTGGTACTGACCTATAAAACAGAAATGAAACTGAATGTATATAACACATGTGTTCATTGGAGGTTTGTAATTTTTTTTTTTTTAACGTGATGATTTTGGCGTATTCTTTTGAAACACCCTGTATTACAAATTAAATGAAGCAAAACTGGTATTAAACTGGCACAATAAATCTATGTAAAGGGGGGATTAAATAGAGAAAATATACTATTAGAGAAAAGCTGCACTAGGGCAAAGCTACTTCCTGTGGAGGACTCTTGATTGGGCCTTTATCACAATAAGTAGAGATGAGTAGATGTGATAGGCAACAAACTATAGAAGAACTCAAAATTGATCACTGCATTAATTTAAGACTACCTTAATTTCTATACAAACAATTCTAATTTCATGAGTGACTTTTACTGGAATTCACGATTAATTTCAATTATTCCAAAATTTATTTCCAAGTTATAAAAATTGTTATCATACAAAAAATTTGTCCCAAAAAAAGCCGAAAACAATCACAGTAATGAAAACTTGTGAATCCCAAAATCTGGATTAAACAGGCCTAGAATTTTTTAATTTGCTCAAGAGTTGGTCTGATTCAAAAATGGTATGATATGTTGTGCTACAGCATCTAGGGAGGTGTGACACAATGACACAGACAACATTTATTATATAGAAGGAGAACAATAAAAATCAAGTAAGATACAAACATTGCATTTAAATTTTTAGAAGACCAAAGTTGACTAACTCCAAAGTTTTTTGCAAGCAGTATAGTTTTGCCAATCTGCTGTGCTGAAATTTATGGCTATATACAGAAATTTCATGAGAAAGTATTTATAAAACAGTGGTGAGAAAGTGATATAAGGACCAACAAATTAATTCGTCTTTATTTATCTGGGTTTTTTCTTCATCTGTAAGGAAAGAGAAGTACTAGTATTTATTCCATAATTTACCTTGATATGGTGATATTTGCTCCTATAAATGAATATAAGGTTGAACACAACCAGACAGGTCAATGGATAGGAGCCAAAAACCTAGAAGAGCAAATTATCAACATTTTTCTAGTTGCATAAATATCCATCAAAAGACCAATACATTAACTTGATGCACATCGATGACAAGTGATAAACAATACAGTCATGGATCACATATTCAGTTATTCA